AGGGAAGGAAGCGAAGGAGGAGGAGGAGGAGGAGGAGGAGGAGGAGGAGGAGGAGGAGGAGGAGGAGGAGGGGGAGGAGGAGGAGCAGGACGACGACGACGACGACGACGACGACGACGACGACGACGACGACGACGACGGACGACGACGACGACGACGACGACGACGACGACGACGACGACGTTGGGGACGGCGGGTGGGGGCTATGGCGGCGCGCGGCCGAGCGGGAGCCTTGTCAGTGGAGCACTCGAGCTTCATCTTGCCGGCCTGGCGGGGGCCGCAAGGGAGCGACCGCGGCCGAGCGAGGCCGAGCGCGGGCCCGTCGGATCCCCGGGCCTCCGGGCGCCGCGCAGAAGGCCGCGGAGCGCGCACTCCGTCTCGCCGTAAGCCGGGCCTGTCCCCCTACAGGGGAATTTTCGACGAAAAATGAAGGAACAACAAAAAAAAAGGTAGGAAATACTCAGAAAATTGTCCCCAGGCTATTTTTGGATTATTTTGGGGGGGCATTTCTTGGGTATTTTTTAATTTTTGGTCGAAAATCCCCCTGTAGGGGGACAGGCCCGACTTAGTCTCGCCCGGAGGGGGGCAACGCCGTGGAGCAGATCAGCCCAGGGGGGGAAGCAGCGACCTGGAGTCGGCGATGCATCGCCGAGAGATCGGCGACAGCCCCCCCCCTAATGGCGAAACCTCTCGGCGATGAATGGGCGACGGGGGGGCGATGCATCGCCGAGAGATCGGCCACAGGCACCCCCTGGCGAAACCTCTCGGCGATGAATGGGCGATTCGGGGTCGATGCATCCCCCCGTGAAGCCCATCCGGCCCCAGGCGTTGTCCCGGATCGCCGCCGCGGCCTCCCAAGGCCGCGCCCCCAGGCCCCCGGGGTGCCGCCAGAGGGCGGCCCGGCGACCCTCGACGAGAGGCCGATCCCGGGGACCACCGGGGGCCCGCCGTGAGAGCGCCACGACGTCGGAGGCCGCGGTGAAACGCCTGGAAGAGGAAAAGATGGCACCAGCAGAACCTGTCGGATGCCCTGCGCGGACTTCTTGGCTCGGCGCTGCACTGCCTCCCCTGCGCGCGCGGGGCGCGCCGGGCCTGCGGCGCCACCATGGGTGCCCAGCGCAGATGCAGGAAATCGGCGCGGGCCTCCCAAGGCTGTTGTTTACACGGTTCTCTTCTTCTTCGGGCGACAGAGCGCGAGCCTCGTGCTGAGCCTGTCGAGAGCGCAGCGCCTGAGTGAGTTGTTAGAAGTCCACGGCGAGGCTGCGATTCTTGAGTAAAGTACAGGGATATCTCGGGTGCGAGCGCGGTCCCCGAATAGACGGGCGGGAGCCGTTGTCGTTGTAGCTGGGGGCCCAAGGGCACAGTTTGAGCATCCAGGGTACGAGCCCCGGGGGGGGGGGAACTTCAAATGAAAAAGCAAAGTGGGCACCAGACGGCAGAGACCAACCATAAGTAGTATTCAAAAAGTTCCCATCGTGGATCCCTACGAGTGAACTGTTGCACGGTGGATGTGTCAGCTAAGTTGTGCCAAAATTGTAGCATAAGCTACGTGGTGTAAGTGGTGTGGTGGAATATGTCTGGCGTAAGATGCGAGGTGCAAGCTGCGTGGTGCTGGCTGTGGTGCAAGCTGTGGTACAATATACGTGGTGCAAGCTCTGTGGTGCAAGCTATGCAGCAGCACACGGGACGCCCACGGGGCGGTCTCGGGCTGTCACCGGGCGCCCATTCCACAGAGGGGTGGAGCACCGATGATATCCAGGATGGGGGGTCCGCCCCTCACGAGGGCAAACAACGGGCTATGGTTCTGTGCGAAGCCTCTTGTGTCGTCTGATATCTCCTCTCCAACAAACTCTACCATCTGATCGTTCAGCACGCAGCTTTTCCAGCTACAATGGAATAAAGTGTCTCGCCAGCCACAGCCGACAGGACGCAGCTTAGAGAAGTAAAAGGGTCTCGAGTTCGCATAGGCTCTGGTCCACAAAGCCTCAGTGCTCACCAACCAAAGAATACCTTTCTGTTGTGGGGTGCTCTTGGACGACGCGAAGTGCTTGGCAGCCACATCAAAGCAAGCCCTAGAATAATAGCTCTTCTCGTCGCCGACATCCCAGTCGAGCTTCCGAAGCACGGCGCCACGCAGCAGATGGCGCAGCACTGATGGTGACTGGAGCGTGAGGGGAGGAGGAGGAGGAAAAGGAGGAGGAGGAGGAGGAGAAGGGGGAGGAGAAGGAGGACCAGTGTAAACCCAAGAGGCATCAACGATGTTAGAATAAACCCTCCCTCCAAGCTCCTTCTTCATAGGCCCCTGCAGCGATTCATTTCCATTACGGGAACTGCCTCGTTGGAAGACAACCGTTTGAAGGCCCTGCAGCATGCCAAAACATTGTTCTCGGGATTCCAACGTCACGGATCAATCTGACTGTTGCGTGTTGGCGATCCAAAACCGTGCCAGAACGCCATGCCTGGGACTTCAACACAGCGGATCAACTTAACTGCTGCGCCC